CTCTTATCTTGTTGTTTCAGTAAACTGTACCTTTTTAGAAATTATATATGTAATTTAGTTCTCACATTTAATTTTATGAAAATGATATTTCACTCCATTTGTAATTTAGTGATTTTGCTTCAATAACCTTGTATCTTTTCATATCTTCTACATTTGTTTAGTAGTTTTTTTGTTTCTGTATACTGGCGTAATATAGGTTTGTTTTAGCTAAGATAATTAGACCACACTTTCAAGCATAACTTCATAACCAGTGTAAATTTTATTAAATGGCACATTAGGGAATTTCCAGATATAATGTAGATATCTAAATTTGTTTAGTTCTTGTGCTTGTTTTTATGGATAGTTATTCTGACATTGTCTGTAGTATAGATTTTGTAGAATAGCTACATTTTAGTGTTTGTGTAGTGAAGAAATGTGTGGGCAGAAGCTTTCTGTCTGTCAGAAATAGGAAGAAAATGATGTATGTGTAGAGTATAAGAATGTTTCAACATATTCATAGTTGATGCTAATTTCTTTTTTTTTTCAGTTACCTCTTTCATTACATCTTAGATGACTCTATCATTTACTTGTGCATAACTGATGATGTAAGTTCAACATTTCCAGTACTTTTATTTTTTGAATAAAAATATTTATGCCTGGATTTGGATATATATATATATATTTTTTTTTTATGGAGAATAAAAATTTGTGTAGCAATATATCTTGTTATAACATGGAAGCCCCCCTAATGGCAAGCGGTATGTCTGCGGCCTTATAACACTACAAACCGGGTTTTGATACCCATAGTAGGCAGAGCAAAGATGGCCCATTGTGTAGGCTTGTGCTTAACTTCGCACAAACATGACATGGAATGATTTGTTAGTTCTAATACTTTTGGTACAAGCCAGTAAGATGTTTAACAATATATATTGTCATAACATACAATGATTTGTTATACTGGCTTGTACCAAAACTATTAGAACAGATGTTTAACAATATATCTTGTCATAACATAGAATGATTTGTTATACTGGCTTGTCTAAGACTATTAGAAAAGTTTCAGTATACATTACCAACAGTTAATTAACATAGCTGATTTTTGATTGTTACAATGTTTCATAATAATAGTTTTGTTTAAATATTTATAGGAATTTGAAAGATCTAGAGCATTTGCTTTTCTCAGTGATATTAGACAAAGGTAAGTTGAAGCATTTCATTTTGAAAGAATAATATGGTGTCAAGATTGAACAGTTTTTAATATAAAACATTCATAAACTTTTCTCTTCCAGTACATTTAATGCAGAGTTTTTAAATTGCAGTATTTACTTTAACTGGTATGTATATAATTCCTAAACTCTGATATATTTCCATAATGACAATGATTTATGCAATTAAGTACATATCTACAGTACATATTCACAGATACATGAATTTTGGTATTAATTTAGCCAAAAATAACTTTTTGTCTTTTACTACTGGTTGAGCATAAATATACAAATTGTTGTGGTTTTATATACTTTTATTACCAAAAAAGACAGGGAATGTGGTGGTTTTCATTTACCACAAGTTGCAAAAGCCTACTCACTCTAAATTAAGATTGAATTGACACACACACACACACACACACACACACACACACACACACACACACACACACACACAACAACAAACAAACAAACAAACAAAGGATGAATGGCAAGATCAATGACCAAGAAGTCAGCATTAGAGTTAGTATTCAGATAGTATGTCATTGAAAAATATATATTTAATAAAACTGAATTTTCTTACACCAATTTCAGGTCAACAGAAGCAAAATGATGAATGTTAACATTTTGTCTGGAAAGGGTGCTGTTTTTATCAAAACGATTTTCATATGTGTGGATAGGATGATTATAAAAAGTAATTCTAGTATGTTTGACCACTCTAGCTATAAGGAAATTTCATGTAGATTTCATTCCATTTGACTCTACTACTGATAAAGTAAATAAAATTTCAGAATATTCTCATCATTTACCATAATACCAGATCCACAGTTTTGAGTATTTCAGTGAGTTTTTCCAGAAAAATGTCTTCATGCAGTACTTCATGACATTAAATTATCTAAGTTGAGGAACAGTTGAAATACAAGGGTCATATGTCAAGAAACTTGTGTGAACATAATGAGAAATAATTGTACAGTACTGTAAATATGATAATAGAGGTGAATGAATTTGGACTATATAAGAAGTGTTTTCATGCATTTGACTGTTTTATTCTTGTTACGTGTTATTTTATGCATTAGATTAATTTCTATGGGGATACTTTTGGTTCATTGACTGCTGGCTTAAGTTACTGCAGTAATACTTATTACTGCTGGTTAACTGGAGCACAACCTAATATATTGACAATATACATCTTGGGAACCAAAAGGTGGCCTTAATATACTTAGCTGATAAAAGGTTTGAAACAGAAGCTGACATTCATATACCTGACTAATTTAAAAAAAAAAAAAAGTCTCAACATAAGGTGACCTTAGTATATTTGACCGATAAAATTTCAACAGAGTGAAAGTAAAATGTCATATTTAAATAAGAGCATTTAAACTTAACAATATGACACTTGTTTAACGGTGCTAAAGAAAAAATGTCTTAATGTTTATTCCGATCACCTTACAACAGATTCAAGACTACATATGGAGTTCAGGCACATACTGCTTTACCTTATGCCATGAATAGTGACTTTTCAAGATCTCTTGCTAATCAAATGGTAAGAATCAAAAATATATGTCAGTTAAAAAAACTTTTTTTTTATATAACTATTATGTTGATTTTTAGTTATGATCTGTGTAGTTTTTTTTGCTTTGGTCAGAAGTTAATTACTAGTATATTTAAATCGTGGCTACAATGATAGTGTGAAGGTAACCAAATGAATGGGAGCATCTTGAAGACTTAAAAATAGGATTTCATTTGGGTACAGACATCATAATAAAACTGTTTTTGTAACATTTCCAATAATTTTTGTTGCAAATATTGATTGTATAGGAAATTTTTAGAAATTTTGTATTATATTCTGACAAGGTACCTTATTTTTGTTCAAATACATGGCTATTCTCGTTCAGTGCTGCCCTTTATTTGCAGATTTTTTTGCATGCCACAAGCCTTTCACTACCACATACCCCTTGGTTCCCATGGTTTAACTGATTCTAGCATACAAATTATCATGCGACAAATCTCCACCAGTAGATGCACCCCACATACACAACTCATGTGACTCCCTCTATGCTATTCTACTTATCTTTTCTCGTTTGGCAGTGCTCATGTTCAGATATTTTATTTAGCGCTTTCTTCGAATTTTGTATTTTTGTATCAATTATTTTCAAGTTTCCTACTTATTTTAACTATTTTTCATTTGTGCCTCATTTTGTCATTCTGTTATTTAATTTTCCACCCAGTTACTGAACTGTCGTTTTACCGTGCATTACTTTCTTTACCAATACAGTTGTGCTTAGTTTTCATTTGCATTATGAATTCTGAAGTACAAGTTACCACGTTGGAGGTTGTACCTTCTGCAGCACTTTTATTCGGGCTTCAGGTGTGGGGAACTCAACTTTGGAATTATCAGCAATTATTCATCGAGGGAGTGATTGTTATTTGAGCCAAGCTTCTTCTCCTGATGTTACCCAACTTCCTTCTGAACAAGCCGAACCTGTTTGGGACAATGAAGCATTTGATAGCCTTTTTTCCTCTGCCTGAATTTGCCATGTCTTCCCAAGTTCCTACTATGTGTTTCCTATAACACATTATTTTCCTTGTTACGTGATCTCCTAGCTGTTAAGGGCCCTTGATCTATGACTGCATTGGGGCCGATGTTCCCTAGTTATGCCACTGGTGCTAGGTATATACAGAAAGTTACTTAGTGGAATTTAAAGGCCAGTGCCATGTTAAGTAGCCTATCTTGACCAATGCTAGTTAATAAAATGATGTGGGGCCTATATAAACTTATACTAACAAATGTAAATGCAGTTTTAAGTAATTGGGAGTTTATACAGGTATGTGTATATAATCATCATTAGCACTACTATTATTACTTGCCTTATATTATACGTTAGCCTAGACTTATGTCACATGTATATCTCAGAAATACTGAGAGAGTTTACAGTTGTATATCTGAACTATATAATGTTTCATGTGTAGTATCATTGTAGTGTTTTATGTTTAATATTGTTGATACAGTGGAAGTGCAACTTCCTGTAAGTGTAGTTACAGTGCTGAAGATTTAAGCAATCTAGGTATTGTATTTAGCTCTACATCTAAAATAAATGATAGTGTCCATATGTGCAGCCTCAACTTTCTACTTACACTCACAACTGCTTAGATCCAAATCTACATTTGCTTACATTTAGATTAGCCTACTAAACTTTAGGTTTCAGTTGTATGGTATTTACCTGATATAGGAAATCCCCTAGACATGAAGTTGCCAGATAATATGTTAGAAGAGAGAAAATAATCATGTAGATACTGTAACATATATTTTTAATATTGTTATATAGCAAAATTCATAAAATTACTAAATAAGAAATAATATTTCTGTTATGAAAACTGTTACTTTATGAATTCAAACTGTAATTTATAAAAGGTGTTTATTCATTTAAAAATATAGCTATTTCAATGGTACCTGAACTACTTAGCTCTTCAGTTGTAATCTTGGTACAAGAGGGTTCTTTTACTACAGCTTGATTTTGGATTATGTTGTTTGATGAAATACTTAGCTACTATTTGTATGATTTATGATAATTATTTATTTTATTAGATGTATTATTATTTTTAAATATAAAGCAGTTTTCTTCTAAAGATATAAATAAGTAATGTATCCCAAAATAATAAGTAGGAAGATGAAATATTTAATGATTGTCAAAAGATAATGAATTTCACATCTGTTAAAAACATTTGATATACAGTTAGCAGTGTCATTTAGATAATAGTTTAAATTTCCTAGGTATTGTGTTTGAATGTCTTTGAATGTAAAGTTTTTTTAATATTGGTTTTCAATTAAAATGTAATTGTTTTTCCTTGTCAGATATGTTTGTAAACCCAATACATATAAATATGCCTAAACTAAGATATGTACTTCAAGATCATGCTAATCATGATTAGCTTTAAAAGTGTGTCCAGATGTAACCTCTACTAAAACTAGCCTTTTCATTTAATACGAATTTCTAATTGGCATGGCTAACATTGTCACTGGTGTCCAAAAAGTTAAGGGACATACTGTTTGTTGAGCTCTAATGATTTGTTCTCTAACTTTTTGACAGCAGTGTATGATATATATGTATATGATGAGGCTTCTATAACAAAGTAGGAATTTGGTAACAGAAGTAGTGGTGACTTGGGGTTTTATGGTGTTATCAGAAATTACTTTCCAAAAAATATTGTATATGTTACAAAACTATTATACATTTTTACTTTTTTCGTTTTTAGCAGGGAATAATTGTGTATGTTATGATAGATAAATGGTGAGGTGAGAAGTTTCAGTTCATTTGAAAATTCCAAAACAAATGACTCCATGTGGCTCAGTGTGAAGCTTGAAGGCTTATAAAAAATTTAACATTTGATCCTAATGTGCATAATACAGACAACCCATTGTGTAGGCTCATTTGTAAATGAACAAAAATGAGACTAAAGATAATTTGACCAAATTCTATATAAATCAGAGTAATTTGTTCTTATAATTAATTCTTTGTAATGATTGTTGCAGCTTATTTTATATGAAATTTATATGTATCTTTAATTCAAAATTAAAATTATGTATGTATTAATATTTTTTCTTTCTTAGAAGCATTATTCAGACAGCAGAGATGTGGATAATGTCTCAAAAGTTCAAGGAGAGCTAGATGAATTAAAAGATATTATGATTAAGAATATTGGTAAGCCTATAAAATCTATTGGTGAGATCTGGTTAAAAACTAATATTAAGCTTCTTTATACAAAAATTGTTTATTATAACTCAGCTATACAATTTATGGATGGAGCCTATGTTTTTAGAAAAAAAGTTAGATTTTTTTTTGGGTGTAAAACTTACCTTGTGAAAAAATTGTCATATTTAACAAATTTCATCACACAACTTTATTTTCTACTCAGACTATAAAAATAGTAAAGTGACCAAGACATGATATTTTTTTGTTGTGAAATAATTTAGTTTAACAATATTTATCTCCTTGTGGGTTAGTGCTAAGTTTACAGACTTAAAACAGAAGTTGGTTCCTCCCAGTTGATGGTGCACATGTAGCCCATTGTGTAGCTTTGTGCTAAAACAACAACAACATTTTTAACTTTGAAAATTACTCTGCATTCAGGGATTAATATGGCAGACCATGGATTTGAGGTTCTGTGGTTCATGCCTTGTTACCTTAAAAAAAGAATTGCATTCTGCATTAGTGCATTATAACAGTGGTAATCAAATCCACCTGCCCAAGAGTTGGCAGTGGGTGGTGTTGACTAGTTGCCTTCCCATATAGTCCACCACCCTAAAATTAGGGACAACTAACACAGATAACCCTTCTGTAGCATTGTGTGAAGTCAAACAAACAAACTTTTTATTTACAAAGCTTCTTTATGCATCTTTTCTAGAAAGTTACAATCAACTGGAGTATAATTTCAAATACATTTTATTATACAATCTACCTTCTTCGGTAAAAATTATAGTGCAATATTTAAAATGTAAGTATAATGTGATCTTCTTATGTAGACTTACAAGGTCATAGACTTATCTTTCAAGCTGATCAAATATTTCCTTTGTTGAAGGATGATAATAGAATTATGTTTGCACCAGAGTATAGCCATATATTAAAAAACAACAACAATGCACTGGTATTTCACTCCAGGCCCTCTCAGATTTTTAAAGAAACAGTTTTCACCATTTGGTTTTGTTTCCATAAAAATAAATTTTGACACATCGGAGCCCACAGAAAATGTGTAACTTGAATAATATGTATTTTTATTAAAACCTATTTTGTTTGACTCTTATGTTCTTCTGCATGAAATATTTTGAATATGTTAAGGATGGTACTTGAAATTGTATTGCTATACATGTAATTGTAACTCAGTGAATTATTTCAAGTAATATTACACCTTGTTTAAGTTCATATTATAAAAAATCAATAGATGGGTGTGAGAGAAGTTAAAACATATATCTAACATTCTGAGCTCCACAACTGTATTTTGTAGAGTATTATTTGATTAAATTTGATTTTTTACATCTTAATTTGAAGTTATTGCTATGATATATGTTCTCATTTTCCATTTGAGATACAAATTTCAATAAAAACAGTCCAGTTTAATAATTTATAAACAAGTATACATGTTAATGTTCAACGGTAATGGACTGATTGTCTTGAATAGCTAGAAGTCTGTTTTGGGCAAGTAGCTTCAAACTTCTACCAGTCCAATTGTACAAGGGATGAAAAATTAGTTTTTTTTTCTTCATAGTTTTGCTTGTTCGCTATTAGCAGTTACCTATATTATATAAAACTCTGATAACAATTTTTAGATGAACTAAATATTGATGATATTGTATATTTTCATTAATCTATTTACACATTGAGTGAAATTAATTTTTTTTTATAGGCATGATGTTTTGATCGTAGTTTAAAAATACTAAGTTAAATGTGATTATCCAGTACTGTTCATGCAGACATGTAATTCATTGCAATTGTAGCAAATATTTTCACTTCAGAATGATTATTCTATGAAATCTGATTATATGCATCAAAACAACTTGGTTCTTGCTGCTGTTGTTGTTTTTATCTACATGAGATAACAGAGTTTAAGCTCCTTATTTAAGACAAACGTATTGTTTTCCCAACATTTTAATTATTATGACTAGAACTGGTCTATTAGTGGTATTTGCTAATTGATTGATTGACAGTCATATTAATCAATCAGTAGAGTGTTCCTCAAACCATGGTACCAGCAAGCAAGCAAAAAAAAAGTTGGCATCAGATGCTGCCTAATAGTTGCCTTCTCTCTAGTCAATAGCTCAAAATTAGTGACAGTAACGGATAGCCCTAGTAATTTGCCACAACATAAATAGGGTGACAAAGTTTGGAAATATTTTAATTACTTGGATAATTGAAATAGTCGTAGACCCTAGTTTCATTTAGTTGATTACTTTTGTGACAGTTGATTTAATTGTAATTTCAATTACTAGATTATTTTCATGACAGTCAATATAATTGGAATTTTGAGTAATTGATTGTTAGAATAATCAATAACTGTAATAATCAGAAACACTAATTTCAATTGATCAATTTAAACATAATTTTGCTAAATTTATTACTTTATGTGATACTAATAAATATCATCAATGCTCATAGGTAATCTGTTATATTGATTTATCAATTAAGTTGCCTATCTCTAATTTACGACATTATGATGCAAATATGAGGATATGGCAGGTGAAAATTGGTGTTTACTTGCTCTACATGACAAGTTATCTAAAAAGTTAGCAACATTCCTTACATGTATGCCTCACAGTAGTCTCTATCAATATAATGATATTAAGTAAAATAAAGCCAATAAAAAAATAACAGGAAAAACATCTTATTACCCTTTTTATGTAATACAAATGTAGTTTTATATATTTCTGTTATTCATACGTTTTAGATATGTGCACATATTTGGTAAGTAACTTTTCTATACATGCTTTATATTTAAGAACTACTAAGAAGTTGTTTAAAAGTACCAGATCATTCTGCGTATGTTTTTCATTGTTGAAACATTTAATTGTACATGTTGTTGTTAGAAAATATCATTACATTTTTACCATAGTCATCGAAATTTATTTCTTGTCATATAGTAGATGGTTTAGAAATTTCAGCATTTATTTTTAGTATACTGTTGAAACATTTAAATCCTTTTTGAAAAAAATCTATTCATGAGGGTTTAGAAGTTAAGTATTTTCTATACTTTAGAAGTGGTTAAAATACATTTGGAAACATAAATAGATGTACTTTAGATATTAAGCATTTAATGCGTGTTTTCAGTGTCATTTAAACTTGTATTAATTTGGTATATATATTTTTTCCTCATCTCAGATACTGTTGCAAGCAGGGGAGAAAGACTAGAACTGTTAGTGGACAAAACAGAAAACCTTAGTGCCACAGTAGGTTTTCATAGGTTATGCATATGTATAAACATTTTTGACCTTGAAAAAGATAAATTTTATTTTATATAGTACAAGTTTCTATGAAAGTAAAACACAACCTGTACAGACTTGAATAAAATATGTTGGATACTATATATATATGTGTGTGTGGTTAGGGGGGGGGGGTAGGTAGGTGGGTGTTAAAAACAAAATTGAGATTAATGATATGTAAACCATAAACAACTGAATTTTTTGGTGAAAGCAGTGTTTTAGGTCATGTGCTTCTCCTGGAACTACATCCTTGATTGTTGATTACACTCATTCTGATTACATGCTATTGTCTAGTACCACAGTTTCTTTTGTAACAAGCTTTTGCAAGAGATGGTACAGTCAGTCTTAGACTACACACCACGACAAACTCTCCATTTAGGGACTTGACAGGTATGTGATTGAATGGAATTACTGTGATTGCAGTTGCTTTAATCACCATTTTCATGAAAATAGCTTTTTTCAAAATCTGGCTGAAAGACTGAGCATTTGGGTTATGATTTCTTCATAAAGTTCTAGTCCTTGTTTATTATCTTGTTAAAGGTATTGGGAGGTATGCATTGCTTCAAAACCACACTTCAGTCCAATCTGGAACAATGCTCTCGTTCACAAAGTGGTTTATGGTTGCAAAAGAGAATCCTGTGATATATGAAAAGCCAGTGTGATGGACTTGTTGCCATCATAAATTTTCTGTTGTGTGAATTCTTCTGCTTCAATGAAGAACATTGGAGACTCCTTTGATTGAAAAGGTTGTATCCGTAGGCTCTACATCATTAAAATGTTTGTAATATAAACGATTCTATTTGGAAAAACCCTTTTTTATAGGTTCTTCCAGGTATAAATTTACCTAGGTTGCATTAGGAATTTGCTTTGAACCACATATAAAGATGCTTGCATGCATGGCAACCTCCACTACGTTTATGTATACAAAAAAATTCAAATAAAATATGATTAACTCCTGTGTGTAAAAGTTTTATATTGTTCTGGATAATATAGTTGAGAACAAATCTAAACAATAATTTAGGTTAGAAAGTTTTCATTTAAGATAAGTTTTACAAAAATGCATTTAAAACAGCAATACATAAATTAATGACAAATAAATTATAAAGAAAATATAAGAAATTAAGTTGAATATTGATTAAAAGAAAAACGGCAAAGCTTAAAAAAACAGGAGCCTGCTAAAACCTTAAGACAATATTTCTCCTCTTGAGGTTTCAAAAGATGTTTGATAAAATAATCCCAAAACTTTATACTTGACAGACAATTAAAGAATATGGTGCATTAAGTACTATTTCACTAAAAATAGTAAATATTGATATATGGTGTCAATAGCAGTCAGGTATTATGACAATTAATTTTATCAGCTACTTATTATGTAATAAACAAAAAATAATTGGAGCACGATCTTAATGCAACTTTATATCAAGTCATATGAGACAAAAATACTTCATGTGTTCCTTGTGTCCTAATGAGCAAGAGACATTGCAACTTATGTCTGCAGTACTTTTTCTGTATAGCTTAGGTCAATGATTTCCAACATTTTTCTGACTGAGGACCAGCTAGTTTTGATCCCCTGATTTCATAGACCATTTGTATTACATTGTAAAACAATATATTTTAGTAGCTACATCATAAAGCACACATTATTATTTTTTCAACTGTCTTGCAGAAATCTTCCTATAGACTGGCAGTTGGGGGACCATTAGCTTAGCTTATATGGTCTCTACCTTGTTATACATTACTAGGCCTAATCAGTTTTTAGTTGCTAGAACAGCTGTTTATTAGTAGCAAATAAATATTGTAAATAATATTTATCCACTTACTTTACTACTGTTTGTCAACTCACTAACTCCGCCTAAGCAGTTCTTTCTTATTGTACCTGACAATAAATTCCTAACCTTCTCAATTTGTTTGGAAAAGTTTAGTTTGCTTAGTCAATTGATTGAGCTGTTCTATAATCTAAAGTTCTTATTTTGAAGCTAATGTTATTTTGGTACCCAAATATTCTATGAACAGTTTTTGAATCTGATTTTATTATTTAGTGAAAGAATTATTTGCAGTTTTAATTACATGACTATAATGTTATTTTCTCTCTGTAGCGTTGGAGGTTATCAGTCAAAGAATTTATGAAACTTTCACAATTATATTGTTTTTTGAAAACTGTTGGGATCATAATTTTGTTGAAACAGTTCTTATGCATAGTTGGTTTTTTTTTGTTTTTTTTTGAACAACTAAATTATTCTAAACATAGTTTGCACCAGTAGCCATAGTGTTATTTGTGGTTTGGAAAATGTTGTATTACATGGTATTTTTATATTTTATTTTGAAGTAGTAAAAAACAGCTTCTAAATAGTTGTAGTCATCAAATTTATTGGTTTACACTGTAGTTTAATGTATTTCGTTGTTTATTTAGCAATGAAATTTCTTCTGTATATTTAAGCTTTGATTATTAATCAGTGATTTTTTCTTCAATAGTCTGTCTCCTTTCGGAAGACTAGCCGAGGATTAGCTCGATCCATGTTGATAAAGAACATCAAGTTGACCATAATAATCATTATAGTTGTCATTGTAAGTTTGTTTATATTTATTTATTTTTGTATAATTTTGATGGAAAAAAGCTATGGTTAAGTTCAGTTCTTTGCATGTATTTGTTTTATTGTTTATATTAAATGACTATTAGTTTCCAGATCTGATATTTTTAACAACATCCGTTTGTTTGTATATTATTTCACTTCATACAATTTAAGTAGTCTTCTCAGTGGTTCCTACATTTCTAATTTTTGTTGTATTTTTTGTAGCATTCCTAATTGTCCCTAACTTAAACAATTGGCTGAATATCCTAGTTTCTTTGGAGAAAAGTATATTGGCATACATTATCTGAGTATCTTTTTAAAGATTATTATATTTTTATTTGAAGGTCTTTTGTACATAAGTCACCAAGTGAAATAGGTTTTTGTCAATATTTTGTGATAGGTTATGTAGCCTATTAAAAATGAAGATATATAATGATATAATATTTAGAATTTTTAACAGTGAGAAAAACTGAGGAGATTATTTTGTGCTTCTTTTGCTTTTATTGCATGACAAGATTACAACTATCAAAGAAAATGAACTACCAAATTATAGAATTACAAGTACCAGAATGAGCTTCTTCACACTAAATGACCCTTTTTAGTTTTAGTCCTCATCACATTACCAAAAATTTCATGCTAGTTAAAACATTTTGTAGAAGCTATCATTCTAGCAGTAACAGATACATTGAACAAAGAGAAATGTGTAATAAGCTAGCTGTTACAAAGAAAGTATAATGTACATGCTTCTAAGAATTATATCATTAGGGAGTCATAAAAAGACAACTAGTAAAACAAAGTTGTAACATTACACTACTTCATAACCACTTTTCCATAACAACCTTGTATTTTTTCTCAAAGTCGTGCCTGCTTAAGCTTAAAGTGGTAATTATTTCTCACTTTTGTAACCTTTCGATGTGGTGTATCTGTAGCAGGAGATAAGTTACTATGTGCTTAGGCCTTTTTTACTCTTGTAGCTTTTCAGTGTATTGTATCTGGGAGTGGTTTAATGGTTCGTTTTTTAAATGGGCCTAAAAATGACAAATTTGTGTATGGTGTTTAGGCTAAGTTATTCTTTAGGTTTTACTCAATGACAGGTGGCAAACTGAATTATAAAGTGAGCTTCAAGTTTCTTTCAAGCTGTTATTTAGAATTGTGCCATGCGAAGAAAACTGCATTGTCGAGCTAGTCCATTGAATAATTTAATGCTACATATTTTCAAGTACCTATATAAGTACAAGCCCACTGTGGTGATTGAACCAACAACTTAAACATCGTACACCTAACTTATAAACCACCACTGTTTTTCAGTTTGTTCTTGACTAGGGTTGCTGGTGAGGATTGGAATTTCTTTAAAATTGGACTAAATCGGGGACAATAGTGAACTGATTGATAGACTGAACTTTACATATATTTTTTTGCCGAAGTTTACAAATTTGGTAACGAGAGAAAAGGGACTACATTACCACTAGAATGTTTTGTTCTATACAGAGTATTTATGCTATTATTTTAAGTTCTCATTTGGTCTAATGAGATGAAGGTATAGTTGATATTTAATGCATGCCTGATATTGATACTTCTATGTGCTCAGGGGAAACTGACAGACAAACCAACAAGTATTGATCTGAAAAGCCAATAGTTCAAGCATGTACTGCAAATTGGTTCAGTCCATGCCAAGTTTTTTGGGAAATTGTTTAGAATAGGATTTCTAACAAATGGATGAGCATTGATATGCTTAGCCAATAGCCTGAAAGAACTTGTACATGTTCCAGATTGCAGAAAGAGTTGTTTTTCAGTTGTTTCAGTACATGCTAAGTATATTCTCCCAGCATTATTTTACAAATGCTAATAATCTCATTAGAATTTGCTTCACAGTATCTTGTGATTTGTTTAACTATTCTTATAGTATTGTTAATTTTTACAAAGAATATTTGTGTGCCATTTAATCAGGGTGAGATAATTATCTATTTCTATGATGTGATTGATTGATTGATGGTTTATATTGGAAAGCAACGAGGCTATCTGTGCCAAACAAGAAGTAAAAGTACAAAAGTAAAATATTATACAAGATAAAAATAAATCAAGTTAAAAAACCAAAGAAAGATCCAAAAGTAGGTAAAAAAAATAAAAAAAACAATAGCCCATAAAAATTTAAAAACACAATTAAGTTGGACAATGTCACCATTTTTATGATGTGAAAGTAAGATGTGTAAAGTTTTGTGCAATTTATTAAAACATTTGTCTGAGGTTCTGTCAGTAGTCGTGAAAGCTACCTAGAAATTTTTTATTGAGAAATAATTTTTACTAAACTTAAAATTGAATATTAAAATCATTAAATATAATACTTACATTTTATTTTAGTGTCAATCAAACTTTATTGATTTGAAAAAGAATGAACAAATACTTGATTACCCAGAACTTATTGTATTTTGTTTTGTCATTGTACTTTTAAAATTAATCTCTTTTTTTTATTCTTTTTTTGTAAGTGATTTCTGTGTTTTTAGGGAAATATAAAAAAAATAAAAAGTTCCAACATTTTTGCACTTGTATGTATTGTGTAGTATGTTTTATTATTGTAACGTCACCTTGTATTATACTTCTCAGATTGCTCTCTATATCATTATCTCTGCATCCTGTGGAGGATTGAATTGGCCAAACTGTGTGTGAGAGATGGGCTGGTTTCCTAAGTTTGTATGTTAAGTTAGAAGACTAGGAAGAGATTCATTCCAAGACTTTCTACTTCTGATGTTATTTTAAAAACAAAACATTCTCCATATTTCTGGTGAGAATCCACAAGTTAACTGAAGTTACTTACCAGAAATGGTAGTTTAAATATTTCATTCAGCTTTTTTGTAATTGAACTTTGGTATTATAGATAATTTTGTTGTGCATGTTTAAACTTTTAAACAAAATGGGTGGATACGTTACATTTTTTTTTTTTTTTTTACAGAATTTGAAACATCAGAAATAAAATAAGAAACAATAATAATAAATAGACAAAAATGGTTATCTAATTTGTATTTTGAATTATTAGTTCATGCTTGTATCATAAGTTAAGAAGCTGATAACATAATCTTATTTTATGTGAACTTACAGTCGTAACACAATTTATACTGTATGGTACATAGACTTGACAGTTACACCATTTGAACTTGCTGGTGACTTTTCAGACAATAAAATTGGAGCTATATTTGATAAGAACTCATTCTTCTTTGTTTAATAAGAGATGAAAACTTAAAGTAGTCATATAAGTTTTGTATGATGTATATTAATATTGATTTGGCATTTTATATTATCTTCAAATATCAGTTACCTCCTTACAATAGTAGATTTTTAAGTAGAGAAGTATTTTAGTATGTATGTATATATGTGTACACACACACACAGACACACACACACACACACACACACACACACACAGACATTAATGAATGAGCTATAACATGTATATAAATAATTTGACATACTTTGGAAATAATTATGGAAATGCACAGGTGATACACAAACAGCAAGTACTTGCAATTAAATGGTCATTTTTATCATTATTACAATATACTGTTACTGTAAATACAAAAAACAAATTAAAGTACATTTACAGTGTCCTAGTTTTTGTATTTGGTTAAACAGAGCAGTTCACCTTGTTTTTGTGCTTCCACAAGTTTGTGAAATATTCCAAATGTCCTTTATTACTCTCTCTGTTTTAGTCAAGTGGCTTAGTTGCCATTTGATCTTCCCAGGTTCCACTTAAACCCATACAGCCTTAACCCTTTTACTTAAACCTACTTCCATTGTAAGTAGGTTATATAACTCTTAATATTTTGTTCCAAAAATAAAACTAGTGGATGAAATTGTTTGAAACTTGGGAGGAACTTTCCTAAAGGCATTTAGTTTCAGAAAAATAAAATATTTAATGCTGTATGAATAGATTCAGTTTAGAAATACAGGTACATTGTAAATGAACTATTATTGAAGTAATGGAGTCAAAACGTTAAAATCTGTGATTGCTTGAAGGGAATTCAAAATGATATAATGTAAAACTTTGGATTATAATGTAAATGTACATGATAATACTATTTTCATTAGAATACATCAATAGTAAAGTTGTTAAATTTAATTTTGAATGTATCACAGTAAAAATTTCATACTTGCAAAGAAAGAAGTTTGAAGAGTGCAGTCGAGGTGAAAGGGTTAATATTTCTATTGAAACTTGTGCAGGTCAAACTATGCGTGTATGTGTTTCATCATGTCTCCCCCCCCCCCCGTCTTGCTGGAATATAAATATCTGCCCAAGAAGTCTTGTTCTTAAGGCAGTGAAATGATGGGTAGGAATGTGCAGGTGCCTATCAGCAGTCAGAGTGCTACCAATTTTGTGTAGATCTTCAACACCATTAGCTAAAGTGAAGCCTATATTTACAGTAGCCCATTAATTGAGCTCTTTAGTAATCTAGGTAATAAGGGAATGAGCTCTTCAGTAAACTAAATAATAAGGGAATGAGCTCTTCAGTAAACTAAATAATAAGGGAATGAGCTCTTTAGTAATCTAGGTAATAAAAAAATGAGCTCTTTAGTAATCTAGGAAATAAGGGCATGGGCTCTTCAGTAATCTAGGTGATAAGGGAATGAGCTGTGATACCATCCTCCTATAAACAAATGAACAAAATTTTGTTGATTGTTGCCAAACAGTTTGACTTTGGACTCATTTGTCACCTTCATCCCATTGTTGGAAATCTGATACCCATTTCAGCTTTTTAATATGGTTCTCTCAGGTTATCAGTGGTTTTTAAGAAGCAACATTTCCATTGATGCCACTTCATGCTAATGTGCATTTTAGTGTTCTGAAGTTAACATTCACACCTGTACTTTACAGCTCAGTCATGAAGCTTATTATACTTTGTGTTTCTTAATGTTACTTTTGAAGAGTGTAGGCTTCATTCTTTAACCACTTCTATTATCAACACTGTAACATGTACACACTTCAAAGTTTCCATGCAGCTACATTGAAAGATGTAATTTTACCTCAGTCTGGTGCATGAAATGGCCTTCATCAGCCAAAACTTTGGCTTCTATATATACTTGTCATGTGGCATTTCTATTCTGAGAGCCATAAATGCATTTACCACACTACAGCTGGTACTAGTATGATCATCTGTACTTTTGTAGACATTATACTTGGGCGGCACTGTTTGATTGGTTGGTTGTTTGCTTGTAGTTAAGCACAAAGCTACACAATGGGCTATCTGTGCTCTGCCTGCCACAGGTATTGAAACCTGGTTTCCTTGATTGGTTGGATACAGTATAATTAGTATAAACTATCAATATGTGACTGTACTCTGATGCAGTTAATTTTCATACTGAAGAGGAGGAGCAATTCTATAATACTTGCATTTTATTCACTGTTTCCATAATTATTTCTATTACTGTATTATATTAAACTTTGATATGGAGGCACTTGTCCTTGATATCAATTAAGTTTATATGAAGACTTGGCTAAAATTAAACACTTGCTTCAATGTTATGTCTCTTACTTCAACTCAAACAATTTGAAAGTAATCTGTAATACATTAAGTTTAGCATCTGAGTAAAAACAAAAATTAACTAAATACTGTCCCAAACCTCATTCAGAACTATACAAACTTTCTGCAAGTCCTAAAACTCTTAAAGATAACTGTTTACTGGTTGTAGTGCCAGGGTTGGACAAGTCTTGTAAAACGTTGATAATTCAGGATAGTTTTAACACTACACAGAGGAACATTTATATATGCACATTTTGTACATAATTAGTAACCCCTATATGCATTTAATTTGCAATTTGTTTGGTCCAACTCTTCCCATTTAATTAGGTAGACACAGCAGTAATTCCGTTATACAACACAAATTCTGTGTGTGTATTTCTACCTTTGACATACGAAGTATGTTATGGATATGATAAAATGAAAGAGGTGACTAACAGATTCTATATTTTAAGAAGAAAATTAAAAGTATTACTTTTGTGTTGTCTATTATAATAACATACCAAACTATTCGTAGAGCATAAATATATTATTTTAGTTGTGGCCATACTAATTTTTATAGATGAACATGCTGCTTACCTTTTAAAGACAGTCAATCTCTCACTACTGTATGCATTATGTGTATTTCATTTGTTATCCCTGGATTATTGGAAGGCCTAGAAAATAAGTCAACATTAAAATGATCTGCCTAAAGAAAATGTAGAGGATATAGTTAGTTAAACCAATTCCTTTTTCCTGAAATTACTTAGCCAGTTATGATTTACTATGTGGCCACAACCTTAGCACATATATATGTTAGACCTGGTATTGTGCCATCAGTTTAATCCTTTGCACATATATTTATACAACTTATGGCCTAGTAAGCTTATGATCTAATTCCCACAGCAGTTCTTTTGGGCTTTATTTATTTAATGAAATAGACTGAAAATGTATAGATAAACAGATAAAGGAGATACTGAAGATGAAGAGGAGAATTTCTAATAAAAACAATTTAGTTGTTATAACATTTAAAGTGCCTGGGTTAACTTGATTTACATGTATTGTAGAAAGTACTGATGTTAATAATTATGATTTTATCTTATGATATGCTCAATTGTCCACTGTAGAAGTAGAAGTGGCTGTAAAGTTATTTTATTTAAGTACACAGAAAAGTTTTAATTAAAAATGTAAATCTGAAATATGAGTAAAACTTCAATACCTTAGGACATAAGATAATAAAAAAAGTACTTTTATTACTTTTCAAAAATACATTTTTATTAGTTTCTTATTTTTCATTGTGAAGTAGTCGGAGGATATGTTCATGGCTTAGATTGAAAGGAATTATCAAAGACACTTATTATGTTCTGTGTTAATGCTGTTTCTACACGTTTCTCAAAAACATTTATAACTAATTTTACCTGTATGTTTTTGTAATAGTGTGTGTTAATGTTGATGGTGAATGTGAATTTAATCATTATATTACATCTACCTTTATAACCACCTTTCCTGATTCAAGAAAGAATTAGTAAAGAACACTTCCTATTGTGATTGTAAGAATACATCAAGATTAGAAATATAGTACCCTGAAAGTTTGTTTTTACAGAAAACATCTTAGGCCAAAATTAAAATATTGCTTGTTTCCCAAAACTTGACTGTCTAATAGATTTGTTATGACTGAATTTTTGTTTTATTGTTTATGTTCTTCTTTGAGAATTTAAATACAAAGCCTTACTTAAAAATTAGTTTAATCTGACTTATTGACTGACCCAAATTGCAGAATAAGGCTCTATGAAACACTATTTTTAAACTCAATCTTGTATTTAATTTCAGTTTAAGTTACAAATAAAAGTATATAAGCAAGAGATAGTTTAATATTTGGATTTGTTTAGTAGATGGTCTCTCCAAGAATCAGCAGTTGTAAAAATGAAATTTATAGTTTGATATGTATTTAAATGTGCCTTAAAAATTAGAAGTGTTACCAGCCTGTTTCAAAACAGTAAAGATTTTAACTTTGAGATAAATTTCCGTAAAGTTTATTTGAAACATCAAAGTACCATCTGATCTTTATTGATTAATGTAGACCTTTATTAAAATGTGTAAATAATATTTATTTGATGTACATGTTAAAAATATTGGTGTTGGATTAAGTTTTGGTTTGAATATTTTGAATACATAACAGTTATCTACACAAAAAACTATATATATATATATATATATATATA